CGAAAAAGGATAAAACCTTTTCTCACTTGCCCTCATTTTACCCCCCTCTCACTGACAGCGAGGCCGGGGACGCGCCCGCGCTGACCACGTCTCAGGCGCCGTTTGACCGGCGGTTCTCGCCGGCGGCGAGCTCGCCGGCGATGAGAGCTACCCCGGAGCGCTCCCCTCTCTCTGGCGCATCTACTGGTGGCGCTAACCCTAGGAGCATGGCGGCACCCACGACGGCGATTCCGGCGGCACGGCGGCGTTCCGACGAGGCGGCAACGGTCGGCGGTGATGACTCCGGTGATGGGATTTTCTCCTAAGCACTCGCCTAGACCTCACGAATCCACCTAAGGGGTTGGTTGGACGGATTAGGACTTGGGACGAGCTCACCCGCGGCCATGGCGGCCGGCGGAGCAGAGCACGCCGGCGCGGCGGCGCTCCGGCCAAGCCCGGCTCTAATCGGCCTATATAAGGACTTATACACGTCCAAGGTGATCTCCGTGACTTGCGCGTCCTTACAGTCGAATCAGAGACGGAGCAGGCGGCGCTGTCGACGGTGATGGCGGCTCCGGTGACGTGAACAGATGAAGACGGCGACGTTCCGACGCGTCTGGACCCTACAGTTAAAACCAACGAGCCGATGAGAAAAATGGAAACAAGGTGGGGCTGGTACGCGAAACGTATCGATGATAGGGTCACCAGAGTGGCCTGACCACGGTGGACGCGGTCACGGCGGTGCGCTGCTCGGCGATGAGGAAGACGGCGTCGTGCGGGCAGCTTAGACGGGTAGAGCTGACGCCAGAAGGCTGGGAAGATACTCAACGCAGTGTCGAAGCTAGGGGCGTGGCGAATTGGACAGAGGTGAGGCGATGGCGGAGATGTTGGCCGGTGAATCGAGTGCTCGACGGCGGCGCTGGAAAGAGAGAAAGAAGGAACGTCGGCTGGCTTGGCGACTGAAGGACGACGACACGGCTTCTGGACGTACAGCTCCTGCTGGCGACGTGGCCAGGGAAGCAGCTGCGTGCCCGTGCACGAAGGAGCAGCGAAAACGGTCACGGCGGCCATCGGCGGTGAGCAAGCTGACTCCCTGCTGTCGGCGTAGTACTGTAGCAACCTGAAGCTCAATCATCTTCCTACTTTTTCTCCAGATTCCAAATGAAAACTTGAAAATATCGAAAAATAAAAGTTTTATTCCCCATACTTTGATGTTCAACTTTGCTTCAAGCACTAACATCAAAATCTCACTGGTTTGCAAGATCAAGAACCAAGAACAGAGAGATATTGAAACTGATCTCTGGATTTCAGAACTTAAACAGTTAGGGTTTGGAAAATTGATTTGATTTATCTAACTTAGGGAATTAATTAGTGATTAATTAACTAACAAACTTATCAACCAATATCACCATTGGTTAGCACAAACATTGTACCAATCAATGATACAATGGTTGAAGCAAGTTTATTTGAGAAGTTCATTTTAATAAATTCCTCAAAATGGAACTTAAATGTTGAAATCCACAACTTAGCCAAAAAAATGGTTAAGTATTGAAATCACATTTTGAATTAACATTCGGAGCTCAAATTTTAATAAGTTGGACTTGAATTCATACACTACACTTGACACGGACTTGAATTCATACACTACACTTGACACTAGTGTAAAGTACATACCTTACACCTCAAAGTGTATTAGGGCATAAATTCAAGTATTTAGATGAAACTCAAAAATAGAAGGTCACAAAGTACCTTAAAAAGGTTTTTGGTTTTAAGCACATTACATCACACATGCATTGCATTGCTAGCAATAAAACATTGATTTTATTAAATGCAAAGCTTGATTAACAACCATGTATATTTATAATGCATGATGATGACATGACCAAGTTTTATTGATGCTTAACACCAGGTGTATTACACTTGCCCCCGTGCGGTTCAGCCACAACTACAATACGTACATGTGGGGTTCCCTTCCTTCCAGTAATGGCGAGTACGATGTCCTAAATTAAAGGGATGTTTGAACAGAAAACCATGTACTCCGTACTAGCAAAAGCCAGAGGTGTTTGTAATAGGAAGGATGCTTGTTTGCGCCTTTGTTTTTCTACAAATTAATTAAATTAAGCTTTTGTCGCTTTGTTTATGCGAGCTTTTTCCTAATCTACCCGAAGCTAGGACTACAGTGATGACTGGTTGGGTGCATAGCTTATGTAGGGGACCGAAATAAATTTTATTTCATATAAAAGGGCCGTTTCTGCAAGTCTTTAGGCACTGCTGGAATTTATCACCTTAGCTCGCGCTATCAGGTCGTAGGTAGCAATGGCTAATGGGCCAAAAGACACCCGCGTACATGGGCCACAAGACACGCAGAATGGAAGGAAAGCTCCATCTTGCATTGGGCCCAACAACGGTTTCGTGGCACATGGGCCTGGGTGGAGTTGAGGCAGCCAACTCCATGCGCAAAGGGCAGAGAGAGGCTGACGAACTCACGATCCTGACGATTCCTGCGCCGCAGGCACTAGCGTCGGCACCAAGTCCCAGTGAACCGAATCATGGTCTAGCTCCCACTCAGAGGCCCACCGCAGCCCATCCCTGTCCGCCTTTGCCCCCGACCCCGACTCCGTCCGACTTTGCTCCGCCCCACGCGCGCATTCCGCCCCCTTCTGTGTCCACCAGTTGCCCCTGACCCCCTCCTCTCTCTCCACGCGGGTGGCACTCAGGAGCCGCGATGAGCAGCTGAGGACGAGCACGCCCCCCGCGTGCCCCGACCGCCGGCCCCCCGGCGCGCCGCATGCCCCGTCCGTCGGCCCCCGGCTCGCCCCAACCGAACAACATAAAACACTTGCAACATGAATGCAACATAAGACTGAAAACATATAAAACATTTGGAAACATGATTTTGAACATGTGTGTGAAACATATGAAACATCCGAAATAAAAACACTTATAACTTGCAACATTAAATCACTTGCTGCAGCATAAGACTGAAACAACTGAAACATTTGGAAACATACTGTTGCAACATATGCAACATCCAGATAAAAAACGATTGCAACATACGTTTGAAAATGGATGAAACATTTTGAACAAACACTTGCAACATGTCTCTGAAAACATATGCAACATGTACAACATCCTCGGTCTGCTTTTGCAACATCAAGATGAAACAATTGTAACATACCTCTGAAACACTCGAAACATACATATGCAACATATGGGAGGGGAAGGCCAGGCTGGTCGATTCCGGCCGTCGGGATCAGAGCCGGCGGCGAACCGCGGCACACGAGCACCACCAGCACCGCCCGCGCTCGTGGGTGCCCTTGGCTCGGCCGAGGAAGACTTGACGCGGCACGGCACATGCGTCCCAGAGGCCATGGCGAGGTTAGCGACGTGCGCGACGGCGATGGGAGACGGACGAACGACGAGGGAGCGAGCGGCACAGGTGTTTGGGATGGGCACGTGGCGTGGCCGGGATGGGGCGCGGGGCAATGGGGGCGCGGACGCGACAATGAGCGAGCGCACGGGCGTGGCGGCGATGGGGCGCAACGCGCAGCAGCGAACGAGGCGGTGGTGGGGAAGAAGGCGCGGACAATGAGCGGTCATTCTGCTTTGGGGCCTATCGGATAAGCACGAAGGAGTCAGAGGTGGACGGATGGATAAACAGAGGGAGTGGAGTTTTTTTTTGTTTAAGGCCTGCTCCTGGAAGCTGCGTTCGGACAGGAGTGACGGACCGACGTCCGAGTTGGATCATTTCCGTTCCTGCGCTGCACTGTCCCGCTCCTGCACTCTCGCTGTCCCGCGCCGTGTCGTGCTGCATGCATTAGCAGAGTAGACAGCACGGCGCGCCATCACGCCACACCGGGTGCTCTATCCCCGTTTCTCTCAGCCGCTGCTCCTACGTGGTTGCTAATATCAGCGACTCAGCCAGTAGCCCAGTTGCATAATGGTCTTTTGGGGGCATATTAATCGGAGGAGCCAAGCTTTCCAATATTCATTCGTCCCTCCATTGTCCTTCACGAGATAGGACTGTTGGAACTTCGAAACCTTGAGGTTAACAAATACTCTAGCTGATTGGCTGGTTGCCGCCAATTGGATGTCTGTCGAAGTCCGTCGAGAAGAAGAGAAATTGGACTCACCCCAATATTTATCATAGAGTAGAAGAGAAAAGTTTGAACAGTGGGACATCCTTTACTTGTTGGCCAAATTTATCTTATTATGATGTATTTCAGTATTTGGCCTGGAATGATTTACACAATGCTCGCGTCCAGGTATATAATCTGGAGCAGAATGGGTAAAAGAAAACACCTCCTAAGCCCTCTAAGTTATAGTCACAAAATGGGAACGCAAAACTAAAAGAAAAGAAGAGGATGCTGTAAGCATGCAGGGTGATCTCGAAATTGCATCGTTCAACAAATTTCCCAGATTGGCACCAACACTTCTAGGCCAAATTCCAAGAACGAACGGAGCACAGGCATAATAGATGTTGTACCGGTCATGAAGGTCCATCGGCAAACTTGTGTTCTGCAATAGGTCAATCCAGAGCAAGTGATTTGAAATATAATCTATTTACACAACAGAAAAAGAAACCACAAGAAAAGATTTAAAATATGCCACCTCTGTTAGGCTCAATGAAAAAACAAAGGTCTAACAGTTTGGAAGATCATAACATTTATACAAGGTATTTCTGAGATTGGGGTTATTTGAGAATTGATACTCATATATTCTATAAAAAAACCAGCAACAACGTCCATCCAATTACATAGATCTTACCTCTAAATAAATGAGACTTGTTACTACATATTGCCCTTGAATTTGATTAATAATGCCCAACATATAGAAATAAACAGCATGAGTGACACTTTCTACATAATATTATTTTGCGATGCGCCAATGCTATATAAAGACAAAAAAAAAAGAACTAGTGAACCGAAAAAGCAATTTTGTTTTCTCGTACCATGAATGTCCCAGAGAAAGTAGTATCACGTCCAAAGAATCATCAATTCAGAACTACAAACAATTCGAAGTCAATATTTGTCAATCTCCTCATCTTCAATGTTGTCATCGTAATCATCTTCATCAGCTGATTCATCAAAATCATCTTGATCCTGACGACAAGCCAACAACTAAGGAAGGATGAGTAGTGGGTTCAGAAACAGACAGCATACAGTTTGGGAAAAAAATGCATACCTCATCATGGCTACCAGAGGTGACTGCCATGCCATATTCATTTTCTGAATCTGAGCTATCATCATCTTGTTCCTCATAGTCCTCAATACCCTGTTTTGTTTTACATCACAGTTATTTATTAGCGCAACTACATTTATCTGGCACACCTCTGTTTACATCACATTAGTTATTCACTAGCGCAACTACATTTATCTGGCACACCTCTGTTGAATCTAGTATGAAAGTCCCAAGGGACTGCCTAAATGGCAATTACTAAATATCGATCGATGAAATAAAGGGATGAAGTGTCACACGTCTGATCTGGGGGGTTGATTTCCCTTTGATTAGAGGGTAAATTAGGGGAATCTGAGGGAAATTAGGGAGGAAGGACGACTGCCCTAGGGCTGGCCGCACCAAAAAAGGAGGGAAGTACAGCGGCAGCAGGGTGCCGCTGCCGGTCTGGCGTGCAGAAGTCAACATGGTACGGAAATTCCAGGGGAATTCGGGAGCAGAATTGAGGACAGAAAAGAGGGATTAAAGGGAGTAATTGCTTGAGAATGCAAACTGTTCCTAAGAAAAGGGAGGGACAGGGACAGCGGCCGGCCCGGCACGTGGTGGACGGGCGCGCGCACGCAGGAGGCGGCGTGGGCGCAACAGCTGTAGTAGAGAGAGGGGGAGAGAGATAATTAGGGTTTTACCTTGAATTATTCTTGCTTAATATCAAAGGGAACATCTCCCCTTAGCTTCTAGACTCTTCCTAATCCTAAACCCAGACGGGCTTAGCAGCACGCTACAGTACCATCGCGGTACTGTTCATGCTGGGCCCAATTGGCCTGTTTTAGGCCCGACACCTCCATAGCCCGTCACGGCTGTATTGGCCCGTGACATTAAGGAAGGCTGAGGGAACAACTGTAATGTGTGTATACCATCAAGAAAAGGAAAGGAACCACCACGAGTGCCATAATTTTGCTGATATATATTGCTATGCATCCAGAAATTAACTCAGATGCTGTTGAAATAATACAGTGCAATACCCCCAAAAAAAATCCTAATGAAAAGTTACATACCAGATCCAACTTCGTCTGCTTGATATTGCTTTCCAGTTGATCTATATGCTGACTAAGGGCCTGCATAATAAATTATTAGTTTAAAGGAAATCAGAAAGATTCTATTGTTACCTAGAAGAATTTTCAATAAAAAACTCTACTTTCATAAGGCAAACTAACCTCATGACGTTGCATAGCAATTGCACGTTTCAATGCCTTAGCTTTTGTTAAGAGGTTTCTTGGCCTTATGTTAATAGGCCTCCTATAGTTCTTTCCACGGTAAAAAATGAGTGCATAACCCTTTGGAACTCTTTCAATGGCAACTAGTATACCACCACTCTCATATGCAAGAAGTCGTGCCGTCTCTTCAACGAATGACAAAGTCTTCTGCTTTGAAATTAATTTGACAACTTCCCTGTGCTTCCAATGCAAGTGCATATTTTCAATTACACCATCAAAAACGCCACGAACTCCTGAGATACATAAGGAAAATGATCAGTCAATAGAAACTGTGGAGCGTGTTAGAAGATAATTGTTCAAGAAATTACCAAGTGGCAAATATGACTTAAGCCGTAAACCAATCCTACGGAAAACAGACTTTTCCTCATCTGTAATCATTTCTTGATCATCACATGGATCGGCAAGTACCATAGAAGCTTCAATTTTTGATAGTAAGCGTTCCGCTCTATGTATTTTTGCCTGAGCCTGAACATTTGAAGAGAAAAATTAAGGAACAAGTAGTGACTAACTAAAGGAAGCAGAAAAGGAATTGCATAACAAGAAGGTAAGAAAGTCAACCTCACAACAACATATATTAACTATATATGCACCACTAAATTGAAATATCCTAGTTTAAATGTAAGCTAGTTTTTATCCTTTTCAAGCTATGGTGGTTCAAGAAGAACAAATAGAATCTTTAGTGCTCACAATGGAAAGCTTGTGTTCGAGTTTCCTGTAAAGCTTTTGCTTTTCTGATCTAGAAGAAGCTTCTTTCATTTCTTCTTGCTCCTTAGCAGTTACTTCTCTTCCCCAACGAGCTTGGGCCTCCTGAAACTCAGCAAGAGTACCCACAAGAGCATGCCTATCTAAGCCATCATCCGGAGGTTGTGCAATCAAAACGTTTCTTCTCTGCTCCTCCATATTCTGAATATCCTTTGTCAACTCCTCTCTTTCAGCCAACACAGCTGCCACAGATGTTGGGAGGAAGTCTTTTCCACGATATATTACAATGTAAAATTTATTTCGAAGAAGCAAGGTACCCCCTGTTAGATTCTGAGTAACATGAGAACGAAAATTGTAAGATATTAAGCTATTTCAGGAAGCTTGAACTACAAAAGCACATATGGTGCATCAACACACTTGATTTGTATCTTTAGGGAGAAGATTTTGGAACTATAAGAAATTTCAGCATCGTGGATTATAAGCCAGAAGTACTGCTGGCTGGTTTGGTGTGAGAGAAAGAGAAAAATACTGTTCCAGCTTATAATCCATGATCGTATAAGCCGAAACGAACAGGCTGATAGGAAGAATATATAAAGCTAAAGCAAAATAAGCATTCTCTACTGCAACCTTACTGAACCATTCTCAACTTCAATGTTGGGAAGATAGAGTTTACTGTAAAGGAACCAAACTATGCAAGTATAGGAAGCAAAATTCCGTTTACTAATATTTAATAAAAAAACTAATTTATAAGAACAAAAACTGATTTATAGCCATTATTTTAGGAACCTTTTGCTTTGAGTGATTCTTTTGATATAAGATTGCTAAGCGAATCTGGAATAGCATTTGACTTTTAGTTGCCTCAGATAAAACAAGTGTGTTTGTATGATATTTTCAGGGCTTTGTGACAAATTTATAAGCTGACACTAACTTTTTTTTTGCAAGATTCCTTCAGAAAAAAAAAGTTGCCAAGTGAATGAGGAAAAATAAAAAATATGGCATTCAAACCTTTATTTCTTCAGCCATTATCTTGTTATTTGTGTTCTGTATTCCACGTTTGACAGCAATTTTCACCACCAAACTCTTCTCCCAGAGCTTAACAATTGCTGCTGCCAAACCTTGATGATTCCGGTTCCTCCCTTCAATGAAATTTAGCAAGCTATAAGAAGGCCTTTCCTGCCAACTGGTAAAAGCTATGACAGGGAAAAGTAAAATTGACACTGTCAAAAGCAATACCTAGAGCAAAATGGCATGGAAGGTTCCTCGCTAACTTTCGCAAGTTAGTCAACTCTGCGTTGGTAAGCGTCGAACGCATTCCAGTCGGAAGAACTCTATATGGCGTTTTATAACCAGGGATCGTTTGAGGCAGCAAGTCAGCATCCACTGGTAAGATACCCGTTCCCCACCAATCCACAAAACGAGGACCCAGCTCATCAAGCATCTGATTGAACTCCAGATCTTCCTCTGTCATGTCCTCAGTATTCTGCGTGTTCAACTGGGACATGTTTGCATGCTGCGCAGCCAAATCCTTTCCCTGAACATCATTCTCAACAGGGCTGGAGGCATCTGGGATGAACAATGCACCTTCTTCCCCCTTCACTGGTGATGAGGCACCATTTAGAGTTTGAGATTTCAGAGGCCTCTTGTAATTGCTCCCTCGGTAAACCACCATTACACTTCCAGACCTCCATATGATCAATCCGCCTGTGCGTCGCTGATCAATGCACACAAACTCGTGTTAGGAATCCATTTCTGGAAGACAACCAATACTCTGAGTGAGACTCAAATTCACCGCAATTAACTGGACAATGCAGGTTGAATTGCCACTATTGCATCACTAAACTAATCAGTATTGACGTTTGACGAACAAGCTGGAAGTGCCACATAATTTGAGATCAGAGTCAGAGGGCAGGGGCAAAATGGTGCAAACCTCAACGAGCTCATGAGCTGTCTTCATGTCGTGCGCGAGGTCCTCATGGAACTTGAGGCGGACCAGCTCCGACTTCCTCCAGGCGTCATGGATCTTCTCCATGACGGCCGTGGTGACTCCCGCCTTGGGCACGGTGATGCGGTCGCGAAGCATCATCCCCAGCCTGCGCAGCCGGCGCAGCTCCTCGTCCTCGATCGTGAGCTCGGCCAGCGTGGGCGCCTTGACCCGCCTCCTCTTGGCTCCATCCTCCTCGTCCCTCGTCGGCCTCGTGGGCTCGTCGTCCCTCTCCCACGGGAGGACGGCGTCGTCGAAGCTGGCGGCCGCGAACTGGCGGTCAGGCCGCGCCCAGCTGCGGTCGAGCAGGTCGCCGAGGCGCTCGGTGCCGTCGGGAGGCGCCGCGGCGGCCGTGGCAGCGGAGGGGTCATCGTCGTCGGAGGCGAGGCCGAGGTTACGGAGGCGGTGGACGATGCGGTCTATGGACGTGGTCGGGGACGGGACGGGAGCGGGAGGTGGGGCGGGACGGGAGGGGTCGGAGGGCGCCCACTTCTGCAGCCACGGCGCGCCCGTGCTGGTGGAGGGTGGGGATGTGCGATTGCCGCCGGTGGAGGAAGGGGAGGAGGCCGAGGCCGCGGCCGCGGCGGACGAGGAGGAGGAGACGTGGCGTGAGGAGGGGGAGGAGAGGAGGCGGAGCGGGAGGAGGCGGTGGATGCTGGGGCGGGACGAGAGGCGGAAGGAGTGATGGAGCGGGAGCTCGGAGAGCGCCATGGAGCGCCGAGGAGCGGACGGCGGGACCGGCGGTTGGGGGGTTTAGCGCGGTGGCGCCATGGATTTGGGGTGAGAGTGCGTGTGGGTTTTTTGGGCTGTGTGGTGCCGGATAAGGGGAGGACCGAGGGCATTCTTTTTTTTTTCCTTTTTTTGTTTGCTTTTTTGGTCTGTGTGCAACGTGCATCAAATTTCTGTTGAATTTATATTCTCGTGAAAATTGCAGCTTAGTTTCACGATTAATCGACTGTTATTATGAATTATCATTAGTCCAGCAGCTCAGTCTGCTTCTACGATCTCTGAACGACATTGCCCTTAAACTTTTTTTTTTGACGTGTCAACAGCACCAGGTCTTCTGATGAGTGTGTATCGGCTGTCACAGTCAGAAAATACGTCCAGTTCATTTAGGCTTGTTTTATTTAATAAGGCGTATTGAAAAATCTTTATTCACTCTGAGTTCTAATTCAAAGGCTACACGCCATTCACTCTATTTGCTTGTTGGTTTTAGCTGAAGCTTATTAATTAGTCAATAGTGTTTTTCTAAAAAAATCATCATTAAATTTAAATTTAAACCAAAGACCAAAGACCAACCAAATGATTCAGCTGATTAAATTTATTTTCAGTCATATATGCACGCGTCAAGTAAATAAATAAAGAAGTATACAGTCGGCAAACCAGAAAGCACTGCTGCTGGAGCAGCGGTAGCAGTAGTTTTCCGCGTAAACAGCGGTGGCAGTAGATGTGGACCGACGACGTCCGTCTGTTCATCTGAGGCGCAGCATTTCACGGTGCCGGGGAAATGGCCGGCTCCGGGTCTTCAACTTGTTTGGGAGACCGATCGACGTCGTGGATTATTTATTCACGCACTTGGTTTGATGTGAGAAAAAACACTGTTTTTGGCTGGAAATTTATGATCGTTTACGAGCAAGCGAACAGACGCGCCACTCCTAGGAGCCAGAGCATGAGCCCAGCGAGCGCGCACCCGGCGTGGACAGCAGGCGGCTCGCCGATGGCGGAGAACAGGATCACCGACGCGCCGAGCAGCATGAGTGGCAGGTGGTGGTAGAGGGCCGGGCGTCGACCTGCCATGGATTGCTTGCGTTCCGTTGCGTGGAATGCAGAGCGTGTTCGTGCTCGTCGATGGTCAAGTGGACATGGTAGGAATACGACTGATGTTGCCGCCTGTTTATATAGCCATATAACCAACGGACCGATGGAGATTGTTATCAAAAGAAAGAAGGGGACGGATGGGAAGGAAGGAAGGAACGAACTGATGTTTGGTTAACCACCCGACGTACGGGGAATAACCGAATAAGGATCAGATTTGAAGACCGAGAGTACCACAACCACGGAATCGTCCTCCTGGCCGCTCACTTGTTTGGGAAAGTCCTGTCGCTTTATTCTTCGGAACCTGCATTCCATGTTAGGACCCTTCCAAGTAGTTAGGTCTAAAGTATCGCCCATTCATACTTATCATCATGAGCGTCGATGAGCCGACTACAACTGGCTTGATTACCTAAATTTGCTGTATAGTGGTAAAATTTGCATTTTATACTGAATGAGCTGCCACTAACTTTTATTATGACTTGGAAGGGTCATTTTTAAGAAGGGTACGGTACAAACCAATGAAAAAAAAAACGAGTGCAGCTTATATTAAGGGTGAAGACAACTTATGTAGAGGCAACACATCAACTTATATTGTAATTCTAACTAGAAGCAAATTTCTGTTGGAATCATTGAGCAATTTGTGTAATTGTTATATAGTATTGAGTTATGCAAGGGCCGAGTGGCAGCTTATGTTGACTTAAACGTAAGGTAGCATTGTGTTAGCACAATTTTTTTTTCCAAACATTCGTAATAGGGATCTTATTTGAAGGATATATAATATAATAATGTAAAGGTGATAAAAAAAACAAAACCGTATGCGAGAGTTATAGTTATAGTAATTTAAATGTGCCCCATCTTTCAGAATTAAAATTAACCAATCGAGTAAAATTTAAGTTGGAAATTTGATTATTTAGTAATCAAGAAGAGGTTCTATTGAGACTCTAATATTCTTTATTATGTTCTCTCTCCTGCACGGCTGCACCTTCTCTACACGATTCTGTTAACCCTAGGCTTTGCTGTACCTGACCTACGGCAAGACCCAGGCAGGTTTTGGTGGGACTTGGGAGTGACCATCCTGGTCCACGTACGTCCCAAAAACAGGGAAGCCAGGTGCCGGGGCTTCCAAAGGTAAAGGTAAAGAGTCGAATCGGATTTTCGGCGACATACGATGAAGTGGGAGCGGAAGGAGGTCAGGAAGTGAGATTTTGCCGCTTGGCCACGGGAGGTCGGGAGGAGCCGGTGAGGTATCCATGCAACGCGACCAGGAATTTTGGCGCACTGGAGGACGAGGCATCCAGATTCCAGACGACCACCGTGGGACATCATGACATATTGCCATGGCTTAGCTTGCAGCATTGTCAGGGCTTGGGGTTCGTTTCTTCACTAGGCAAGCAAGAAGCAGTACCATCTCCTCGACCACTCGTCGTCCATCCCTTTGCACTTTGCAGAGTCAAAAGTAGGCCGTGATGCAAAGTGAAGACTGAAGAGGGAGGGCCAGCCAGCAACGGAGCTGTTGGTTTTACTGCGAAGCCGCCCAAAAGAAAGCATGCCAGTTTTTTTTCTTTTTTGGGTGAAGGAAACACATTGCCAGTTCGCCGTTCAGCTGTGGCTGTGAGCCTGTGAAGGCAGTCCATTTCCATGCTCATGGTGTTTCAGTCCACCATAATCATTCGCACAGGGAAACGACCTGCCTAGAAGTGCTAGATAGCAACTCTGAAATCTTCTTAGGCCAGTCTCAATAATAGTTTCCTCTACATTTAATATCATATATATAAGTACTTTTTATGGGCCTTGTTTAGATTGCAAGTTTTTTCGCTCTCTCTCTATCACATCAAATATTTGGACACGTGCATGGAGTATTAAATGTAGATAAAAAAATAACTAATTACACAGTTTGATTGTAAATTACGAGACGAATCTTTTGAGCCTAGTTAGACCATGATTGGACAATAATTGTCAAATACAAACGAAAATGCTACAGTGCCAAATACTGATTCCTGACTGCAATCTAAACGAGGCCATGATGTGTCAAGATTTTTAAGAAGAGAGAATATGTGAGTTTTATGGGGACGAAACTCTCTTCGCTCGGTTTCTAAGTTTAGATGAGTTATAAATTAAATATCTATGGAACAAAAAAGCTATACATTGAGAATGATTGTTCATTCATGTTTCACCGCATTCGCATTCTACATTTTTAGAAAACAACTCTATGAAACTCTATTGAGAATGCGGTTTAACGGAGGCGGAAGGGTCGCCGTCATCAGAGGCGAGGCCGAGGATGATGCGGTTGATGGACGTGGTTGGGGACGGGACGGGAGCGGGAGCTACGGCGGGACGGGAGGGGTCGGAGGGACCCACCTCTCCAGCCATAGCGTGCCGATGCTGGGGCCGCGCGATTGCCGCCGATGGAGGAAGGGGAGGAGGCCGAGGCCGCGACGGCGGTAGACGAGGAGGAGGAGAAGGAGAGGAGGCGAAGCGGGAAGAGGCGGTGGATGTTGGAGTGGGACGAGAGGCGGAAGGAGTGGTGAAGTGGGAGCTCGGAGAGCGCCATTAGGCGCAGGGAGTGGAGGGCAGACCGACAGTTGGGGGGTTTAGTGCGGTGGCGCCATGGATTTGGGGGTGAGACGGCGTGCTGGGTTTTGGGCTTGGTGGTGGCGGATAAGGGGGAGGACCGGAGGGGATTTTTTCTTTCTTTCTTTTTTCGGAACGACTAGTGCCCGAAGGTCGAGATGGACGCTCCGTGTCGGACGTGGATGATGCAGTCAGTGCTAATAGACGAGAATCCATGGTGCCACCGCACTAAACCGCCGCGCCCACACTGCTTCCCATCCTATCTGCGCGTCCACACGTGGAAAACCACGTGGGTCCCATGAAAGCATCTAGGCCCCTAGTTGGGTTTCGGTGATTAATGACAATACGTGATTACTGTGACTAACGTGTGTTTTGCAGAGGCAATTAAGTTAGGTCACGGTAATGGAGATTGATTGAGCTATCATGATGGCCATGCCCCTACGATGGAAATCGTTTCAGTTTTCAAAGGATGGATGACAAGGTTAAGGATGGACTAGTTCTAAGTGTCGATTGGAGTTGAAGTGACACTTAGAGTAGTTTAGGACTTTGTTTTTCTTTTGGCCGTACTATTAAGAGGGGCATGGATGGGTAGCTTGACCTAGGTGAGTCTAGTGGGTTAGGTGTGGTGCACACTTGCTAAAACTAGCGCTAGGTAGCTCCTAAAAAGCCTTTAGATTCATTGGAACAAACTTCATTCACGTATGATCGAGAGTTGGAAGTGAATGGATGGTCAAATATTGACCAGACGCTGGTTTCGGTGTGACCGGATGCTGGCGCAGAGTCCGGTCAATTCATTTGACCAAGGTGATTCCGTCTGGTGCGACCGGACGCTGAAGAGGTGAGTGACCACACGCTGGGTCCCAGCGTCCGGTCGACTCCAGTAAGGTTTCAGAGAGGGAAAATCGTGACCGGACGCGTCCGGTCACAACTTAAACACTGGAGTTCGGGGAGAACTGACCAGAACGTCTGGTCAACATGACCGGAGCGTTTGGTCACCCCGCAGAGGCACATAACGGTTCGTTTTTCAGCCGGTGTTATAAATACTTCCTCCACTCATGTGTGGGGGTACTTTTGCTCATTCCAACAGCTGAGAAACACCTTTGAGAGTGCCAAGAAGAGCAAGATCCTGGTGAGGTGGTTGAGATTTGAGAATCCCAAAGAGAGCCCTCATTAGTGAGATCAAGAGTAGCAAAGTGTGCATCCACCCTTCTCATTAGTCTTGTCGTGGTCAAGTGAGAGTTTGTGCTTGTTACTCTTGGTGATCGCCATCACCTAGACGGCTTAGTGGTGATTGGGAGTTTGGTGATCATCCGGTGAAGCTTGTG